GGGACATATCATTATATTCGTCTATAGAGACATATCATTATATTCGTCTATTGGAACATATCATTATATTCGTTTATTGTCAGATAAATGATTTCCTTTTGGCATACACATTGTTTGTCACCTCTAACCCAATCGCAATCTACCTTTCTGTTCCTGGGAATGTTGGGAGCTTATTCACAAAATTTAAAGAATGGCATTTTAGGTACCATTAGGTTATGTATCTTTGATAGTCGATAGTTTGTCACACTCCATGTCTGTCATTTACTCGTTGATCTTCGTGATGTACTCCTATTCATTGAATGACCAACAATAATAAATGGTGAAACATGCGTAGAAAGATGACTTTCCTAAATTATTTGAGCAGGTTTGTAAAACAGAAATGTGTATGTTTTGACATGTCTTGGTATCACCTTGTTTGTTAATACGAATAATGTGTAACGAAAAAAACATAATATATATGCAGTAACCATGGCATTTATTGAAGTCACACACAAACATGTCACAAGAGTATATATATTAAACTGGTGCAAGTATTATTTTACATGTGTAGTACTAATATTCAGCCCTAACTATTATCGTGTGGGTGAGTATTACAGATCCCGTACGATAAACCTCTTTGTCACGACGCGCGTTAACGGGACGTATTTAATCGTTGATCCGCTTCTTGACAAATTGACAATAAATTAGAATCGAAATATGACGTTTTCACATCAATTTAACGACAAAATCCTGTAGTTTTTTTTTAATCTTACGTTTGTGTTATATAATCCTATTTTTGTTCTCACTCTGTGTCGTCGGTGCAACAGTATGTGTGCACTGGAGGCAATGGTGCGAATGTCCCTCTATACAAGTGCCAGTTCATTTAAGATCACGTAGACCAAGTCTATGATGCCGTAATCACTATTCACAGTCACGGATTGAATCATCTTTACCCGCGACTTCATTGTGTCCAACGCCCGCGTGTTGCGATGAATGCATCATCAGTAACACTCACTGTCACCTGCATTAGCGCGTTTTCCCTTTATAAATGCCAGCTCCTGTGAGCCGTTAATGGTGTATACTCATTCACGATCTCGAGCAAACGACCATGTCCTAGTAAGTTTTAACAACATTTCAGAAACATCTGTAACGGTTATTAGTGGTATGTGAGTACATGGTGTAATTTGTCCAAGTCCAAGAGACTTTTCTTAATGGGAAAGGATAATCATGTTATTTTATATCGCCATGGATAATGCCTCACCTCTCTATGTAGCTTACCTTTTTTTTACCTCGCTTTTGAATTCATATTAGATGAAAACACAGATTACATGGAAATGCAAATTCTATTGTCAAAAAAAAATTGCCTTCTGATCTTTTCATTTCGCGTCATATAAATTACTCACCTCAAAGAACATTTGTCATTACTATAATTAAAACGCAATTCCAGAGACTGTTTTTGACTTTATTTATCTTCGTTATTACACAATGAATAGCTTTTGTAAATCTGTACTGTATCTAATACGCTTAATCCAAATTTATGTTCTTTCAAACTTAAATTTATACTGTTTTTCAAGCACTTTCAATCGTCGTGGCATTGTCATTTACTATCAATAACTGTATTTGCTATTATCAGAGTTCCATGCATAAGTAAGGGAATCGAGCATTACGTAGTTTGTGTGATTAAAAAGTATTCAATACAGACACCAAGTCCCACATGCAAAAGCCGCTCGCCGACAACAGAATAGAAACGAGTCGTAAATCATAGTTTCTATTTTCAAACATTGCTTCATGTTTGAGGCACAGTGAGCTAGATTACGTACATATTACATGGAGACAAAGGCGTACTAGTTCTATATTTGACGTTGTTCGAAAGCCTGACGTAATTTTTTTAATTTTCTCTGATATAGATAACGTGTTGTTCGTTTTCTCTCAAAAAAAACTCTCAAAACCAGACAATATTTATTAAATTATTATACTTGAATTCGAGTATTCAAATATCATCATAATTTTTGTTCTCGCATATCAAAACTTTGCATTCAGTTTCGATCGAATATTTAATTAAGGTTACCAGTAATTTTAATATAATATAATATAATATAATATAATATAATATAATATAATATAATATAATATAATATAATATAATATAATATAATATAATATAATATAATATAATATAATATAATATAATATAATATAATATAATATAATATAATATAATATAATATAATATGGAATTTAAAAGACGGGAAATGAGAGACGCTAAAGTAAACTCTATATATAAAATGAGGTGCTGCTTCAATTGAATATACATCATGGAAAAACTTATGTCTGTATTGTTTATTTCAAGTCAATTAGCGCATTACTACTGTCGTTTCTTAGACAAATATCCTGCGGCAACAACAATTTCTATATCCATCGTCTAATTTGTGAAATGTTGTGAAACATTTATGTATATATCATGTACTTGCAATCATATGAACAACTATCCCCTGTATACGGGCGGACATGAAACCTTTATATCTATGAAACCGTCGACAACTCTTAACAGGCTGCGTACGCGGGATCTGGAGACGGTGAAATCAAGTCTCATAAACTAAATAATTTAGCTCATGTAAAATATACTAGTATTCGCTTGATAATGAACGCCGCAAATTGTCAATTTTCATACAATGTATTTGTATGGGCATTTGAATACCATACATGTGACTGAATTTACAACTAGGGATAACGATAACGATATCGTAAACGCATTTCACATTTAGAAAGTCGTCGACCGTCTCCCGTGATGTCATCGAGCTGTATCTGGTTTTTTTTGTTTTTTTTTCGAGTTGAGAACATATTAATTCCCAACAATGTGCACTTATGAAAGTCACGTTTTTATAAACGTTGGAACCAGACAACTGAATAATTCCCAGTGAATCATTGCGTACTTAGATCATATATTTTTACAAGGTGTTCTATGGCCCCGCATTTTCTTAGCGTGATTTGAATTGTCATTTATTTTGTAATGAAATCTCATTCTCTACTCTCAATAGCTTTGATTGGTGTACGTAAAATCATTTTCGATGACGTCACGAACATATCATGGATAGCTTAACAACATAGTCACAATATAGCTCTATATATTCACGTGATTGTTTTCTATGCCTTTCATCACCGGGTCGGACATTCTCTAAATATATTAAATTATTCAATAATCTTTCTGATTGTTATTTTGTTTTTGCATTCTCAGATATCCGAATCACGACCTTATCGCCTGACGACGTTGACCCGAGTCTGAATCTACTTACTGTGTACGATCAAACGGAGGATAACAGTATCACAATTCATCTGACTGATACAAGTACTGCACAGATTGGTAACGAAGATGGTACGTAAATAACCCGGGGTAACGTTAAACTCGCGTCTGATATATCGACCATGCAATTAACTAAGTTTACCCTAGATTCCTTCATTTCTAATAAGTCACTTGGAGGGATCAGTCTTATCATATGAGGTTATCACGGGAAAACCGAATGAAACGCAACATGCATGAAACACTGTCCCGGGGGCAAATGGCCATTTCTGAAATATACAAACTCGATTGACATGCTCTCAAACAGTACATACAGGAAAAGTTGCGCAACTTCGACTCGCCTTTTTCAACAATGTCACTATCTCGGTACATCATTTTGCAGCCATATTTGCGCAATGAATAACTGCAGAAATACAAAGAATGCCCACTGATCGGAGAATTTACATGTATATTGCACCAAACAGTGAGCGTCTATGTGCGCGCTTGCTTTGTCAATCATCTGTTTTGCTGTAAAGACTAGTAAAAACATTGCAACTTACAGGAGAACCGAAACTACACGATACCTAAACATAAAAACTCAATACTTTTTTTTCTCCGTCGAGTATAGTGAAGTTATCAGTAATCGTGTATAAGAACATGCACAACATCATTGGCGGCAAGATGGAAGGAGGCCAAGCAGAAGTCGATGCAGCCATCGAGACATCCGTCGTTAGCAACGTCGTGTCTTACATTATAGTTGGTGGTGGTGTCGATGTTGCCAGCTACGTCAACGAAGAAAACCCCATGTACCTCAATTTTGTCAACGCACAGGTAGAAATATGTCTGTTTCTTTCTGAGAATACCGAATATACTTTAAAACATGTCATTTTAGCTAGCATGTTATTGTAGCTTATTTAGCTAATTTGTAATTTCGCTAATTCAGGATGTCGCTAATTTGAAAAAAAATGTATTCACACAATGATATTGTTGGCACTTTAGCTAAATTAAGATTCAGTTAATTCATGCATGGAGTCAAATTTGCTAAAATGTCATGTAGCTATTTAAACATGTTTTACAGTATATTTTCAATAAGTTGCGCCCTCAGTGACGAAACTTTTCTGTGACGTCAAAATGACGTAGTTCGATGTCGTTCAAATAGACAATTCTGTTAGGATGAGAAGTCATTTAAACTGGCAAAATCTCTAAAAAAAAAGTATTTTATTATCCGGTGCCTGCCCTAAAAAGAAAACTAATCGAAGCGTCCCATTTACAACAGTTTATGTTTTAAAAAAATGTTGACGCTTGAGGGCGTGACTTCTAAGAACGGTATATGAGGCTTTGCAATGTTTATGTATTTCTCTCGTCAACGTATATAATCAAATAAAATGAGTTTCACTGTAGAACTAATAACATTCAATAGAATTTTCTCACAACGATGCGGCTTTGTTACACAATAACTGATCTATACAATGCACGTTATTATATTTACTCGGCCACGTGACCTGCCTGGCAGGTATTTCCATTTCATTACGCAGTATTCAGTGCCGATGCAATTGTTGTCGAAATAAACGAATCATATGTTTATTGCATACGTCATTCATCCTGCAAATAACCGTTGGGGAAAACTAATCATTAAACTTTGCGGAGTATAACAATAACTCTATCGTTTTCTTTATATAACAGCATTCATGAATTGTCTTATTCCTCTGGATTGCACGTTCGTATCGTGATGTTTGAAAGTATATGATTCACAAACTAATTTGGGACGAATTTTTCAATCTATTTCTAATTTTATTTTTTGCATAATCTCTTTCAGGAACCACCCGATGAACACGTCGATATATGCGTTTATTGGGAATTCCACGAAAGGTAGGTAGTAATTTTGATATGCCAGCAGTCACGTAAACATCCGGGGGTAACATCAGTTTGAGGACCCGTATGTACAATACTTCTACATTAGTTAAGGAATGTTTGTGTATTGTTGCTTCTCTCAGTCTTGGGACGGTGAAATTTACTTCTCTCGTGACTTCTCTCGTGACGTGTACATGCGCAGTGAGTGCTTTAGCGTATGATGTAAATTTTAGCTTGTCGCGATATACAAACGTGTGAACGTACTTTAGATTGTGATATCATTCCGTATCCTTCCTCTGTCACATTTACTATTTACAGGCACTATTTTCGGAACATTTTGTCTAGATTTCTGTAAATTGCATTTCATTTGCACGTTATTTTTATTTTCAAAGAAGAAAGGCTTCACATAACTCAAAGGCTGAACAACATAACCATAAACATATATGAAACAGCGAAGCGTGAAAATAACCCCTATTTTGTGTTTAATTTAACAACCTCTCTGGAGCAAATCTATTGTCGTAATACGAAAAGGACGCCCACTGTTTCCCTGATTTTCATTTCCCCGTTTTTGCCGTGTTATCGCATATACGTTCAACAGAGATATGCTCAGCTCCCCCCAGAGTCTTCAAATAACAGCTGATTTTTTCAGGATAATCATTCGCCGACGTCTTTTCAATATTTCGCATCCTCTAGTGGCGAGGCTTTTTGGTGACGTCAGAATGGCGTACGAGCAAAACATGGGTAGTAAAATTTTCATTGTATACAATTCCAGTCTTTCTAAGTGAGTGCCACTATCGTTGAAAGATCGGCTAACTGCAAACGCGATCTCGAGTTACTGTTTTATATGAAATGCCGTTTTATATTAAAAAACATACTGCTAAGATTTGTCTGGCCGATAGAATCGTTTACGCTCTATGAAAAGGGCGAACTAGGCAATAACCCAGGAATGATTTATTAGCTGATGAATCGAGTCTTTGGGAAGTCAGGAATCGAAATTGGATTACCAGCTGTCGTGAAGCAACGTGTTACTAAATCCAAACCGTATATCTTGGATTGAAAATGTCATTCCATATGAGATAGATACTAGTATATGATTGCGTGATTAATGTGATTAATGGCGGCTCATTTTTCATCATAGGAATTTATTTTCGCTGTGAGGGTTAATCAGCGAGTCTAATTCAGTGAAAATAAAAAAAATGTTTTTCTTAATCCTGTCCAGTTTGCCTGGAGGCATATGGTCTACTGACGGTTGTGAACTGTACTCCAGCACCTCGTTAGACACCACGTGTCGCTGCAGTCATCTTACTAACTTTGCCGTCCTGATGCAGACCACCACAGATCGGGTAAATATGTTGTTTCCTAGCAACCCTGACAATTGCACGTATTTGATATTCAATTCTTATTGTGATCCTCGCCAAGCCACTGTATGTAATAAACGTGTTTTTTTGTCAATATATCATTGTTTTTATCATCAGACCTTAATTAAAATGCCATCTTGATGACTTATATTGTGACTTATTATCACATCAAATAACCTGTAAATTTCTTTGTTGTTTCTTATCACTTGCGTTTTCTTTCCAGGCCATATCTGACTCTCACTCTCTTGCTTTGGAATTGATAACTTACATCGGAACCATATCATCTATCATATCCTTGCTGTTCAGTATTCTCGTTTACGCTTATCTAAGGTATCATTCTAGAAATATACGCTGTGTTATTCTTTTGTAAAACTGTGTAACAATAAAATCAAACCCGCCCATCCAATGTTCTGAAACCATTTGTATTACGGCAATTGTAGTAAGTCTGCTTTGATGCGTGACGACGTAGCAGTTATACGACCATTCTTTAAACTCAAGATATGTTCATTAAATGTTTCTGGGAACGAGGCCGCATCAGGTTACCGACTTGATATAGTATGGCGGTGAATTACAACGACTGCCATTCGCCATCATTAGTTGTACCTTATATCGGAGTGGATCTTGACATGATATGATATTTCATATTCATCTCTGTTTACAGATTACTGAAAAATCAACGTATAATATTACATGCAAACCTCGCCTTATCTCTGGCCATAGCTCAACTTATCTATATCAGCGGTATTGGTGCAACATTCAATCAGGTGAGTTGAATTTAACATTACAATACCTAATCGCTAACAGCCATTTTGTTCCCTTGACCAACTGCTGTTTACCGGGAACCCTACTCCACTTCGGTCTTCAACGTCTGACAGAAGGCGTAACTTTGGCGTTGTTTTCGTTCTCGTTTCCAGGGACTTTGCACCAGCATCGCCGTGGTCCTGCACTACTTCTTTCTCGTGTCCTTCATGTGGATGTTACTAGAGGGCGTTCAGCTGTATACCAAATCCGTCCACGTTTTTGGTCAGGGGATACGAACGTGGGTGTTCATGTTATTAGGTTGGGGTGAGTATATTCTTCTCCTTAAACTCATCAAGTCAATCGGCGACTACAATAAAATGTCTATTGCATGTGGAACAAAACTTGGAACGCAAGCATCTAGTTGTCGTTGAGGATATTTGAATTATGTATATGTAAAATTCACTAATTTAAAAGGGGGGATGTGCATGTCGAGGTAATTCGGTTTGTTTGTTTGTCGTAAAATCAAAATGTTTGGCAGTAATGTGACAGTATCCTCGGGGGCGGAAATCCGGACATTTTCACCGCCTGGCAACCAGCGGCGGTGAAAACAAAGGCCCAAAACTCGCAGAAAACGGTACTTTGGGATGATTGTTGAGACTCCTCTGAACAGTGTAACAAGATTAGCCCTACGTGTGTAACATATATAAATTTGGTTGTTCGGGATTACTTCAAAGTTGAGTTTGTGTTGTTTTCTCGAATTTTCACCGGCTCGACCGGCGTTCCACAGCAGCGCGCACAGAGCCCTTAGAAATGCTTGGTACAGTGGTGCGCGTCTTAGCAACGTGGAACGTTCGTGACGTAGCTCCGCCCCCGAGGATTAGTTAGTTTCAAGTATAGTGCACATGAGCGTCGAATAACCTGCACGCGGCGTGACCAGTAAGGTACATACAAGCGCATGCGCATTTGCCTTTTTCATCGAACGATATTAGCTGCCGAAAGATTTTATTTATTCCATGATTATACATATACTATTTTTTTGTTCACAATATCAAACACAATTACTCAAAATACTCAAAGTTGCCCCATAAATGGTTTTAGTGGCGTAATTGATTTACATGCGAACTGTAAAACATGTCTCCCTGCGAATACCTATGTTATGTAAAGTGTTACTAATAAAATGTATGCACTGAATGTAATACGAGTTTTCATTCTCATCACGTTTCGTCCCGTTCCTCCACATATGATTGTCCGTTATATTGTAGGCATACCGGTGATTATTGTGGGTATTAGTTTTCCGATCAGACCTGAGGAATATGGCACCGAAGACAGGTAAGAGAATACAACGGAATCGTCCCGTGACAAAATTGCATCACACCGACTTATTTCCAATAACATGGGTGAATAGATTATAATTGGTTTACAGTGATGAATCGGCACAATATATATATATTTATATGATATTAGTCCATGCAGACTAGCCGATATTATATCAAAACAATGTACAAATAATATAATAAAATTATTGAAGCATAACTTTAATTGTATACATTAATATAAATAATATAATGGCAAATAACATGATGGATTGGAATGAAAATGAAAAGATATTGGACATAAATTAGATTCATACAAAACATAGTCGTCGATTCTGACAGAGCATAACTATTCGACGTCATCGATGTACCAGAAACTTAAAATGTAAACAACGAAATTAACCATGATTCATCGTCCCCACGTCATCCATCCCAAGTCATTTTTAATTTCAGATGTTGGTTATCCACGGAAAAGGGCCTTATATGGGCATTTGTTGTTCCTGTACTGGTTGTCATTGCGGTGAGTACAACAATTTATGTGTTTGTTTGTTTTAATTTATGGATAAATAATACCACAGGTACAATATATTTGGTTTTACGATCTGCCTCCCTGTTATCACCCAGGCAACCACGTGGTGATGCGTTCTGTATTCCGTGTGGAGTAATTTAACAGATATGCTTTGCAAGCCTATTCCGCGTCTATAGATGATTTGTGATTTGTTGTGTTTTATTTCCGATTCATGATTTACTGATAGTCGTGTGTGGTGAAATCCCTCACGGGAAAAAAAAGTAATACGCTACATGGGAGGATTGTTTGTGTCTGTATTCAGTTAAAACTACCATATTCGTCCAAACACGATTCTGAGTTTGCCCTCGATTTTATATTTTTGTCTACATTTCAGGTTAATATATTCGTACTCATCATGGTCATCCGGGTATTTATGACACTAAAAGCTAACGCTGACAAAACAGAGAAAGAACGAATGAAGTAAGTGAAAGTGCACAAAGCGCTAAAGTCGTCGCCTCGCGTCGTATTCAATATGGGTCCCATACGACGTACACAACGCATGTAAAATAATTGAACGCACTGCGCTGCGCCTGTGGCGCTTTGCGTAAAACGCCTTCGTTGGTCCAATATAACATGAGAGTGCATCGTCAATTTCTACGTGTGGGTGTGTCTACAATACATTATGGGTGACTGATGCGGTATTTATTATTCGCAGGGCCGGTATGCGGGCGATATTGATGTTACAGCCTCTGTTGGGTCTAACATGGTTCTTTGGTTTTATTTCGTCATACGACCCCAGCCTGCTCTTCAACTATCTCTTTGTCATATTCAACTCTCTGCAGGTAAACATGAGCACATGTATATGTATATATACACACGAGTCGCTGTCACTAGCGACAAAGTGTGTGTTTGGTGTAGAGCCGTGTTATAAACATATGCGCAATGCAAAGTTATTATTGGAATATGCTATCGATATTACGCTTACATTGTTGTTGTTAACATATTAAAACATTTATTGGTTTGGTTTCCATGATTACAGGGTGTTTTCATTTTCGTCCTCCACTGCCTGTTGAACGATGAGGTTAGTATTTCCGTTATGTGGCGTTGGTTGTTGTGTCGTTGCTACATTGTATGCAGTCACTTGTATGCGAATATTAAACATTACGCCACATAATATATCAAATGAGTTAGTTCATTGGGATTATCACATTCGGATGAAAGAACCGTACAAACAGTCAAGCGAATTACTCTCCTTTCTAGTTTGATAGTACACCTGTATAACTGCTGCTATGTGCCAAATGTAGAGATTATGTCACCTATGGGTCTGTGTGATGTCATAATGGCCACAATGCAATTTAATGCATTATCTTTGCGTCAACACGGTCAGGGGTCACCAAGGATCTCCCTATTAATATCGCAGTTGTAATTGGACGAATCTTAACCACCGACTGTAGTATGTGGTACACTTGCCAACTCTAGTGGTTAGACCTCAGGGAATCGAGCGGCTAACTTCCGGTGTTGCTAATACAACATAAAAATGATTATGAATGCGAACATATCATTTTGATACAGCATCAAATGAAAGATTATACATTATATGTGCTCGTCCATATCTATAATGTTGATTGAATTTGGTAGTAATATTACACGCATGATACATATCACGGTTTAACCATTGACCAAGAAAACAATGACGTGTCACTCTCAAAACTCCCTACAGGTACGAAAGACGTTCCGTATACATCAGAAGAAGATGAAGTCATCGGTCATGTCGTCATCCGGTACAGAAAGCAGCGTCATTAGCAAGACGAAAATAAAATCCGACTACAAATCGGTATATATACTGACAAAAACAAAACAAAAATCGTTACTCATGGTGTTTTGATGTGCGGTATAATTGTTGGATAAGGGCGCAATTTCTTACCTTAATGAGAAGCGCCCTCATGCGACTAAAATTTCTTGCAAGCACGCCTACCTTCTAACATTTTTCATAACTTTATAGTAGAAACGTGTGTGTAATTAAATTAAATTTGTAATAATCCGGATTTTATAGTCGGCCTCATACACCTCAACAACTAGTGAATGTTATGTAATAATTCTATGTCCCTAACGTAGAATTTAGAAGCAATACGTGATTCTGACGATCAATTTTCTAGTAGTTTTCTGCATGATTGAATAATAAAGCAAAGTAATAGTATAGTGATAATAACTCATTTGTTTTATCTTTTGCCGCAAGGATCTAACGAAAATAAACGTAGAAGAAAAGAAAAAAGGTAACATCCTATCATTGTTATTATTAATCGTATGCCATGAATAATGTTATTTTAATCTTAGTGGAATGCTCGTTAACTATTTGATTTGTTTCTCGCTGTTAACGATTTGTATTAAAGAGGGGGGGGTCGTCACCTGCGCACGCGCGGAAATTGAGTCCCAAGCTTGTTTGTAAACAATGACACGATATGGACATCTGACGCATGCGCAGATGACGACTCCCCTGCTTTAACGTTGAACACTGATTCTTGGATTCACGCTGGCACATTTAATCATTTAACAATGAAATTCAAAGCAGTGACCATTGTCTCGTTTTACAGCTCCGAACGGGAAAGAAGTTTGGTAAAAATTATAGGTGACCCTTTATGGTGGTCCATCGATGACATCACGACAAGACCGTCAACTAATGAAATGTTGGTATCGTCAATTCACAAGAAACCGTCCAGACGAAGTAGAAAACACGAGATTCAAGTCATACACTAATAAATTGGGCGGAGCATATTCGCGGTGTTGTGAAATATTTGCAGCTTAAATCGTGGTTTTGTTAAAGGGCGACAGTCGTCGTGCCGCGTTCTGTTCGATATGGGACTCATAGCGACGTATAAAATACTTTATTTATTTACATGAAATACGAACACGCGCTGCGCGACGAACACCGCGCTTTAAGTTTCTAAATTCGATGTGGTAAAAAGAGTACCATTACGTCATGTATATAATATAATTGTAGTTTGTAAGATTAAATGCACTGAATATACAAAAAAAAGACTTGTGGTGCAAATTCAGGGTTTCTTCACAAAATAATCCCCTAAATAAAACTGGCATCAACGTTCAATACTTATAATAAAATATATGGAAAAAGAAAAACATTGATATCTTTGTCAGATGCCATCTCTTGTGTACGCCCAATCCACTAAAATCCCATGTGTTCACGAGACACCCTGTGATGTATATAGGAATTCACGCAGACACTGAATTAATATAGACACGTGACTTGCAAATACCGAGTAATTCATACTATACGTATGTATCGGGGTGATGGATATTCAATTGGGTGTGTGACTGAGCTGACACGTGACAATATTTTCATTGAATCGCCAAGCATATCGCGTGAGGTTTTAAGTTATATAGGGTTGATTTCATATTCTTATAGTAAATAATATACGTTCATATAAAACTATTCAATATATAATATAACATTATGTATATATCCATATTCTAGATTATGAATCTGCGATTCCGATTCTGTAATCATTCTCAGTTGAATCCGAATTCGAATCGAAAACAAATCTAAACAATACATATCAGAATGGCGTTGTTTTTGATGACTGTTTTATATGAATTGTGAGCCTACTAACCGTGAATGTAAAACGTATTTTAAACTTTTCATTGGCTGACTAATGACGATCTGGTATGACTATGCACACAGTGATGGATAAGTAGTTGTGAATATACATATATAAGTATAAAATACCAAAATATTTTTATTTGAACATATACAGTAGGGTTACTAAAATATAAATAAAAAATATTCATAAATAAGGTGAGTGTATTCATTGTATGCTCACCCCGGCGTTCGTGGTCAGCGTACTCGGCTATGAAAGTTGCATACCTGATCGTATTCACCTGTAGTCCAATATTATATAACGATACAACACATAAACTAGTGATAGATGTTCAACAGATGTATCAGTTACCATTTCCAGTGTTTATTGCGAGTACGTACGACAATATTCTCGCATGTACCCCCGTTTCCTATATACATCACGTAGACCTGAAACGCACATCTCGAAGTACGCGAGATTACTAGTCTGCGATGAAAGCATCAGTCGACGCCTCATCATGTAACCGTGTATTCAACATCTAGCGCCCTCATAAGACAAGGCACAAGAGTTGTAGTTTGTTGTTATTAAGTTATTTTAAAACAGAATGTTCCGTCCAATGTACATATTTATGTGGCCGTGGGGAAACTTTAAGATGAATGACAGAAACACTGCTGCTAAAATAATGTCTCCTATCAGTACGGTAGATGTAGTTTATTGAGGATTTCATGTTACGTGTGTTGTCCTTATGAACACCAAACATATTTAATGTTTAAATCACTACAAACTGGGCGTTTTATTCATCAAATCAATACTACTTTTTCACAGTTCATTTTGTGCCCGGCGTCTCCAAAGGCCGTCCAGTAGTTTTTAACTAAATGTGAACATTTACATGTCATATAATTCTTAATTCAATGTCTTTGATCGATCTTAACTGAAGGACGGAACCCAGATTCGAACCATTTTTCTGATTTAAAAATATTCCACAATTTTGTATTATTAGTTCAAAGCTTTTGAGAGGAAAAGTGCCAAATGCACATTTTCAAGACAAATAGGGGTTTCTAGACAGTGAAACAAAACAAAGTATTTCTTATTTCATAGGTCGTATTTGCAATATAACGGATCTGTACAGTCGAGCACCATCTTCATTGTGAAATATTAGTTCAAAAATTAATGAGCTTGAACATGGGTATTGTCCGTTATGTCAATTACTGTACCTCAGCAATGTACCATACGTATGTGTACCCCCTCACTACAGTGTGGAATTTTTGCGAATTACTATTATTTTATCAGTTCATCTGTTTTAACAATCACTGATTATGTTCTTATAAGTTATTTTAAGGTTTTATAAAATCTCGTTAAATTTGGAAGTATGTATTTAGGTATATGAACACCAGAATCTGTATAAAAATAATTATAAATTTAAATAATAATTTAACATATCAGTAAATCACAAGGTTTTATTTTCTGGGTATCATAGTTTGTTTTCATGTCTTCGTTTCCATTACGCTGTCTCATAATTTACTCCACCTCTTTCTGTGAGAATATCGATAATTAGTTTTTATAGACTACTTATTCTGTCAGGTTATGGTGTGTGGTGTACATTCTTAATATTGTATATAACAAATAAAGACTATATGCGATGCAATTAGCATTTGGCCTTGTATGTTGATTTCAAGTAAAAAATCGTTCCGCCACGATGGAGACAAATATTGTAGTTTACACTTAGATATTTAGATATAGATATTTATAAATGCGTTTCAGTCGAATCCAAACGCAGCTCTGTGATTGGTTATCAGAATTCCTCTGCCTACCAGACTCTACGTGATTATGTAAATCAAGATTTATTTTTTCTTGTTTTCGAATTTGTTGGAATGTCTGAGTAACGACAATAAATTGTTATTTGTTCTACGATTATTATTTGGTCCATTTCTAAACTCACGATGACTCTATTGTTGTTGTTACAAGAATACCTTATTTTCCTTTCTTTCGGCATCGTCTGCAATCCAGTGTATGGATTTAAATCCCAAAGCGGTATTTCTACCTCACCCGAACAATATTCATAATCTTAGTATCAAACTGGAGGAGAAGGGTTATGCGCACGCCACATTGGGTCGTATCTGGGAGCTCTCAAATAGGACCTCACGAATACGACCTACTTTACATATTACCCATATTGCATTATACAAAATGGCTGGTAGGTTAGTTGTTAGTTTTTTTCGGTTTCTTCGCAGTGTGTACTCGATGTTTTGCGTTTACCAGTAATCGTACGTTTTCCTGACGCAGTATTTGAACCAATATCGCCTCGCGAGATAGCGATTCAG